CAATGTGAAGTTTCTATGTGGAGCCATGCTGTAAAGTCCTTTGGACCTGAAAGCAAATGATGTTTATGGATGTTGAAGTTTATAAAACACATCCATGGTTTAGATGTTGTTTCTTGCAACAGTCGCGTGAACTTGGGGAGAGTTGCTATTCATCTCCATTCCCAGATGAGTATCTTGTAGCTCAGAAAGAGAAGCGGCTTCTCCCAGGTTAGACAGCCAGCAAATTGTGGAGACGGGACCCACAGCAAGCCTCTACCTTGGTTCAGATTTGTGTGGCACCATTGCTTCTCATACATAGGGGTCTTCTTGGGTAGGAATCCGCAGCTTGCTTCCTTTCTCTTTCCCCTTCTCTCCCTCTCTCCCTCCCTCCATTTCTTCTTTCCTTTCTTTCTGTGAAAGCCTTCAGTCTCCTTCCCCAAGAACCCATCACTCTCCTATAATTCTCCCTTCTTCTAGGCTATTCGTGGCTACACGGCTGTTTTAACTTTTTAGGTACGGTAGATTTTAGGACTCTTCAATCCCTGGCTCTTATTCTTCCCTAGGTCTCCGTGTCTCTCCTCTGCCCCAGCCCTGCATCCCTAACTAACTGCTCCTGCTCCATCTTTGTTTCATTAGCTCTTCCAGGAAGTGCCATTCTCCTCTCCATGTGAGGCCAGGGCCTGTTTGACAACTGTTTTAAGCACTCATTAAGTTTGTTACTTGGTACTTCTTTCTTCTACTAATTTAAGAGAAGCGAGGCAAGACCAGCCAGTCTGCTGCTTTCCTAACACCTAGTGCAGCGTCTGGTTTACAGTAAATGCTCAATAAACATTTATTGAATGAACAAAGTAAGCAGCTATTTATACAGAGTCAAACGGGGAGCCGGGGAAAGTGGGTGGTCTGGAGCTGTCTCCCCCATCCACCGGAGCAGTGGAAGAGCCTTTGGGGGAAGCGAAGCCAGAGGATTGAGAGTTCAAGCTGGAACCCGAGCTTCCAGGGCCATCTGGGTTACACAGCTAGGCTTTTGTCTCTAGAGGAGTGAATGAATGGCTTTGGGTTTTAAAGGGAAATCCTCACAGAAGGCAGGAGAGCATTAGCTTCTGGTGTATAATGCTGGGGATGCTCACTGTGTTTGTATGCACACTGGGGATGTTCCCTGTAAGATCCTCAGAGAGAAGCCCCTCCAGTCAGCAGCGGTTAGTTCTCTAACCTTCCTTTTGGCTTTGATATTCTCTCTCTCTCTCTCTCTCTCTCTCTCTCTCTCTCTCTCTCTCTCATACACACACACACACACACACACACACACACACACACACACACACACTAGCGAAGGAAGGTACAGATTTTCCCCAGGTTCCCTTTACTCTGGAGCTCTCCAGTAACTAGAAGGGCCATTGTCAATCAGGTAACAGTGTTTGCCTGGAGGGTGTGGCATTTGGCAGTGAATGACAGGTAGGGCTGATACTGCAAGCCAGTGAGAATGTGGTTGTTGTCTTTTTGATGTGGTAGGAAAAAAAGCTATCCTTTCTTCTCTCTGTCTTCCCTTCATCTTTCCATTGCCTCCATCTTCCCTCTCTCCCTCCATCTTCCCTCCCTCCCTCCATTTTCCCTCCCTCCCTCCATCTTCCCTCTCTCCCTCCATCTTCCCTCTCTCCCTCCATCTTCCCTCCCTCCCTCCTTCTTCCCTCCCTCCCTCCATCTTCCCTTCCTCCCTCCCTCCATCACTCTGCCCCATCCATCTATGGCAACCTTAAAAGCTCTAATAAAGATGGTAGCGAAATTCCAGATTTTAGTTCAAGGTCATTCTTTTGTTTCCTCACCTACATACTGAGCAATGTGAGTTTGTCCCTTAGGTGGTTAGCAAGTTCACTTAGTACAGGCCTGCATCTTGAGTCAGCTCCAAGGTCAAGTGAGTGTGTTGAACCCATGGACAGGGCTGTCTTCAGGGAGCACTCATAAATGGTGTTTCAGTTCTCCTGAGGTAGCGAGTCCAGAAGGGTAATGAGCTTTCTAAATATAGTGGGAAATTGGTCTGGAAAGGGGACACTGGGAGCCAGTTTGCATTCTTCACATTTAGGTCACCTGGTTAGAAAAACGAAAAACCTGGGTGTTAGGCATGGATTGTCATCCATCTTTGATTTCCAAGCCCCCCTGCCCCCGCCCCCGGTGTCATGTACGTGGTGGGGAAGGCTTTAGCTGCTGATTCTATCCTCAGAGTTGAAGGATCAGGGTGCTTGTTCTATGCTTACTGTTGAATTTTTAAAAATGCTTCTCTGTATTTCACAGTCAGTGAGGCAGAGAACTGGACCGGGATGCCTCGCTTGTGATACCTCGCAATGCACTCTAGAAAGGAGCTGTGTAGGAGGCAGGAGGATGTCAGGCTCGGGTGCCTAGGACTCCTTGAGTCTTGTGTTTGGCCACTGTGAAGGTGGTCACAGCAGAAGAAATGCCTGGGGAGAGGTGTGGGGCCATTCCATGAAGGGACCCCCATCCTCTCGAGTAAGTATCAAAGACCAGACAGAATTTGGTGGTTTTCTTGGGAATTCCTCATCCCCTCTTCAGACCTGCAGCCCTAATTTCTCCCCGAAGCCCTTGGTACACTCTCAGAAGTAAGATATGATTCAAGAGCCCGCAGGGTACCTGGCAGCTAGCAGACCTCAATGTGTAATGTACATCCCTTCCTTCACACAACAAGCACTTATTTCCTCCCTTCTATTTATAACAACCCAGAGCCCAAGGAGTGGATGACAGCAGATTCTCCCCTACTCTGAAGAGTAAGCAAATAATAGAAGCGAGTCATTGTACCACTGTGGATCACTAGGGCATGCTGGGGGACCGAGGAACAGCCAGAGGGGTGCCTATGTTTGGTAAAGACTTTGAGTTGTGTCAAGGTGTGGGTAGCAATGATTGCTGGGAGCCTGCTGTAAGCGATAGTCCTGAGCCTGTGACCCTTGCATCAGCCAGGGACAGTGAGTTTGACGTGGGCGCTCCGACTCTGCGGATACTCTTCCATGGCTGTGAAGTATTGCCTTGACTAGAGACCTAGGCTCCAGCCTGCCTCCTTGATGCTTCATGCCAGCTGCATGTTTTGGTAGCATGAGGGCTCACGGTGAGCTGGCAGGAAATACATACCGGTGACGAGTAGGAGCTCCTAGATACCGGATCTGCACTTGAGAATGGAGTGTTCTACGCAGGTCATAGGAATGTTTTAGAAAGTGAGGTGGAATTCGCATAGGAGCTCTTGCAAATGCTGTGGCCTTTGGCTCATTCCGTGCATTGTATATCCACTGCCTCTGTCCAGGTCCATAACATTCTCATTAGTCCCAAAGCAAATCACAAATACTCCTTTCACTCTTCCTCCTCAGCCTCCTGGCAGCCACCCACCTGCTTCCTGACTTTGTGGATTTACTTGCTTGGGATGTTTTATATAAATTGAGTCGTGCAGAATGTGACCTTTGCGTCTGGCATTCTTTTTAAGGTCTGTCTGTATTAAAGCAGTGAGTTAGTATCGCGTGAAGTCTTCATTAGCAGCTATGCCAGATCTCCAAAGACAGCTCCCCCCCCCACCACGTCCATGCCCCATCGAAGACTGCTGATCTCTCCTCAGCCCCCTAGAAACAGTGTTCTGTTGGCCTCGCACTATCTGGAAGGAAGAGAATGGACCACATTTATCATCTTTTAAATGAGCTGGATGAGACTCTGCTGGGGTTTTTCAAATGCTCATTCGTGCGTGGGTTACCTTCCCAGGACTTCTGATAAGGTATTTCTGGGATGAACCTGGAGCTTCTGTTCTTGGGTCAGTGGCCCTCTAGGTCTCTGCTTTTCAGCCAGGTGGGTTCTGGGTTCCTGATCCTATGCCAGGTGGCCTCTGGCGTTGGGGTTTGATCCTATGATGAGTGACCTCTGGAGGTCTGATCCTGACTGGGTGACTTCTGGGGCTCCCACCTTGGACCAAGTGGCCTCTGGAGCCTTCCTAACCCTTTACCTGTGAGCCTAGCTCTGAGAGGCCACCTGATTTAGTTTGTCATCCGAGATAGAGTTTTGGTTCAGAGATCCCTGTGGCATGCAATTTTTTCTTTCTTCCCTGTCTTCTGAGCAAAGGCACCCGGGCCCCTCCCTGCTGCCTTTACGGCCCCAATTAATTGTGGCTCATTTATCAGGCTCCAGCTAGGGCCTGTGAACCAGAGACAAAAGAGAAGGAAGGTTGTTCACACCCTGGGGTTATGGTTATGACTGACTACATATCAAGGTTATGTTCCTGGAAAAGTCATACTCCCACTTCCTCCCACCCCCTGGCAGGCCAGTATCTCCTCCATCAGTGTGTGGAACTAAGTGGGGGAGACTGGAAGAACCAATCCGCAAGCCTGCAGCTGTCTAGAGGGAGAGCGTTAGGGAGAGCTGGCTGTGGAGGAGAGCAAAGGACCCAAACAAACTGGAAGCCACCACTAAGGAGATTCAGCCGTGGCAACCTGTGGGTTCCTGATGTTGGGGGCTGTCTTGGGGTCGTTGGTTTCTTGGTCACAGTTCGCGGAGGATGGCAAGACAGTCCTTTGGGGGCTGCTTCCTGCCTTTCCCTGTAGGACTGACATGGAGAGGAGGAAAACGGACTGCATGTCTTGACCTTAATAAAATTTATGGCTTGCTGGCTCCCTTGTCCTTGGGGTGCATTGATTCCTGCTACTGATTCCGGTCCTGTGCTTGGGGTGGGGGGATGGGCACCTAGGCTGCGTTGAAGATTAGTGGTGACTCACCAGGGAGTTATATTCTCATGACTGGATATGCTTGAGGTCTCTGCCAAGGCAAGGAGCAGAACTGTTTGTGTGTGTGCCTGGTGACCCTTGGACAAGCCGTTGCTTGCCAGAGAGCCTTCTCTTTCCGCGTGCTGGACTGCCCTTTTCCAGTCTGCTCTTAGGAATACAGGGGACATCAGACAGAAAAGGCTTAAAGGAAAAAAAAGAAGAGAAAAGAAGAGTTCCACCAAGGTTGCCCTCCAGAGGCTTCCTTTATGAGAACCCCCTGGAATAGTTTGATGCCTCTCTTTTGTGTCCATTCATCTCTCATCCCGTAGGCTCAGTTGACAAAAGCTCTGCCCTCTGCTACAAAGACCTCAGCAAGTGTCGTCAGACCTCTTCTCCACTCTGATCCCTTACCTCTTTGTAGCCTGTTCAAAGTGTCCTCTGATTATTAACCTGCCAGAGGGATGGCTGTGCCCGCCGCTCTGAGGATGGCCAGATTGAATATGGAGGATCTTTTCATCTCAGACCCCGCGTGAACTTCGGGTGATGCTCCTAGGTTCCTAACCCCCTTTCCTAGTGCCATTTACATGGTTCTCTCCTTGCTCCCTCCTGGTTCCTAGGGTGCAGATGGCTTTGCAGGGGAGAAGATTTTAGCCCGAGGACCCGAGGTGCCTGTGCTGGTGGCTCTCTGATCCATCAGTATTTCCAGTCTCTTTCTGGAAGCCTAGGTTGGGAGGGAGGTGAAGGGAAGAGGAAGTAAGAGGTTTGAGCTGCTGGGGACAGACCCTTAGCAGCTTTTTGAGTTAAATAATTTATTTCTAGCTTTTGATTTGCACGTTTCTTTTGACGCTTGCGGGGACTTATCTCCTGGGAGTGAGAAGTGGGGTTTTGGAATGACATATTTTCCTAAAAAAATATCAAGGGTCTTTTTGATTTGAAGCGGTCTCACTTCAGATATACATATATATTTAAACGCTTGGTTCTTGGATCAAATGAGATGCAGGTGCTTACGACCCGAAGCAGGGCCGTTACAGATTATCTCCCCACTGGGGCTGGCTGCCAAGCTTGTGGCCCAGGTGGTTTTCTTCTCCCTTGTCACATCTGAGAGCACCCCCAAGGAGTGGGTGGAACACATCAGGGTGGAGGAGAAACGGAAGGGAAGAGGGAGAGGCTGTGGAGGAGGGCGGGCTTTCTGCTCCAGATCTGCTGTGAGAAGGGTTGGTTTGCTCAACTTGAACTCTTCAGTAGTCCCAGAGTTGGTGTTGGCCCGGGTGGGTGAGCAGTCCAGGCTCAGAGGCAGGTGCTGAGGTCCTCAAGCTGGACCTCCTCGCCCGAGGGCCCGAGAAGGTTCTGTGATAGTCTTCAGATGTCTGTCCAACCTGGCTTGTTCCTGATGCTATTCAGCAGGAGCGGTGGGACGGCTGGGTTTGGGGAGGCCTCATCCTGCTTCTCAGAGGGGGCCCTGGAGCTTGCTGGTGTCCGCACAGGTTCAGTAACTCTTGAGCTCCAGTGTTCTGGAAAGCCTGTCTTGGAATGCATGCTCGTCAGTCAGCGCACGGTGAGCTAAGATGAGAACACAGGCATTCAGAGAGACAGAATAGTGAGAAGAGAGAAACAAAGCCGCACATACAGTTTTTCCATGAGGCAAAAGTGACCTAAAAGAGTGGTTCTTTACTCCAAGTTTATATTCTTTCTTAGTTTTATCAAAAAACCCTGAAAGCTAGGCGGTGTCCATCTGAGAAGTTCAGGGTGAGTGTTCCTTATCAGCGGCAGCCCTGCCTATCAGGAACCCAGGAACTCAGGCACTTTCTAGCCTGTTACTGTTGCCTCTAGGGCACTGGGATCTGAGTTGCCACCAGGGAATGGGGAAAGAAAACAGGACTGTGTGTGATCCAGGTGGAATGGTCCCTAGGACGTAGCCCCGTCCCAGGGATATACCTTGCTGTCTCAGTCAGGGCAAGAGTCTGTGGTGTCTGCAGGAAGGAGAGAGAGAGAGAGAGAGAGAGAGAGAGAGAGAAGCTGGCCAAGCTGTGACATGGCGGCTTATCCATCTCCACACCAGGCAAAATAGAAATGGCCACTCAGACACCAGCCTATTTATTCTGTTTTTATTTTGCTGATTTGCAGACCTGAAAGGCTGGGAGCTACTGTTGCAGTAATCTAAAGGCTACTTCCGTTTAGAATTGAGAAACGTTTCCTGATTTGAGACACTTAAAAAATAAACTTAAAGGTCAGGTGACACACTCAGCTACCTCGCACTGAGGGAGGCCGGGGCAGGAGGATCACACTGAGGCTACTCAGTGATCTCAAAAAACCCCAAACGACCACCAAAGTAGAGAAATTGCATAAGCAAGTCTATTCTTTCAACTTTCCTTCTTACCTAAAGTTGAGTAACGATGCTCCATCCCCGACACACTCGTTTAGAAAGAAGTTCAAAAAGTATGTGATCTTTTGGCCTGTGGATTAAAAAAAATATTTTATAGAATTTCTAATGGACACATACTGACTGGTCCGTGCTCCTGAGGTACAGTCTGATGTTTCAGTGTTTATGTCATGGTCAGATAAGGGGCACCTGCAGGTAATGGTCAGGGAACTGGACGGTCCATCACCCCAGACAGTCATTTGTTTCTGTTGAGAGTATTCATCACCTTCTCTAGTTTGAATTCAATTAACTGTTGTTGTCAATCATAGTCTTCTTACTGTACTATAGGATGTTAGAAGTTATTCCTTCTGGTTGGTGAGGTGGCTCAGTGGGTAAAGGTACTTGTGACCGAGACAGATAACCCAAGTTCAATTCCTGGAACCCACATGGCGAGGGGAGAGGCCCAACTCCAGAAAGTTTTCCTTTCCTCTGACCTCTGCACATGTTCTATAGCATACACCCTGAGAGCACACACACACACACACACACACACACACTATAAAAACGTTATTTCCTCCATCTATCCTTTGTCCCCCATTAACTATCCCCTCTGTACCCCACTATTCCTAGCCTATGGTGAGTTTTTTTTGAAAGAACCGTAAGTTTTAGTGCACACCACACATGTGGAGTGATGTCACCAAGGATGAAATAAAGCAGAGGAGTCCCTTGTGAAGTCCCGTCCCCAGGAGCTATTATCTACAGTATAACTGAGTGTAGGGTGGGTTGGTGATTCGTCTTGGGGAAGGTGCTAATGCAAAGTTAGCTGAGCAATGAGGGGAGGCTGCTCTGATCCCAGGCTCCATATCTCAGAATCTGAGTGGCAGAAGGGACCAGGAGTCTTGGTTTGGAATGTGTGTGCCTGCCACTCACCACAGGTCCTGATTTCCTTTTGGTCTCTTTCAGGTCAGTCTGAATGACTCCCACAATCAGATGGTGGTGCACTGGGCTGGAGAGAAAAGCAACGTGATCGTGGCATTAGCCCGAGACAGCCTGGCATTGGCGAGGCCTAAGAGCAGTGATGTAAGTATCTCCGGGTGCTGGGCCCTCCCGGGTGCTATGGGAGTGACCCTTCTGAGCCTCCAGGTGGTCATGTCAGAGAAGAAATAGTGGGTAGTTAAAGAATGGCGGAGATGAACTCTATGGCAGTGAAGAGATATGGAAAATAATGCATGTGACCCTTGCATTCCGAACTCAGGGTGGAGCTGTCCAAGCAGATGTGCCCAGTGCAGGATGACTTTTGAGGCGGCACAGGTGGTCTGCACTGATAGCTTTACAAGGCGCCAAAGAGCACTCCAGGGCAGAGCAAGTTGGAGCTGATCCAGAGAGAGCTAAACTGGTCTGTCTTTTCCATATGTCAACATCGTGGGATGTTGTCTAGAAGAGTTAATTAGGGCAAGCACAGTAAGGCAGACTTGAAGAAGGGCTGGCCATCAGCGGCAGAGCTCCGCCTAGGGAGTCCTGAGCCCTGGAGCATGGGATAATGCAGACGATGGCTAGTTGATGAGCTGTTGACAGATCCATCTCTTCCTCCTTTACTTATATATTATCCCTGCACCAGGATGTATATTTATGTTCTAGCTATATGTCTCCTATAGATCTATGTACCTATCAATCATCTGTCTGTCCATCTTCTCTTTATCATCCTGTCTGTCTATCAATCTATTTTGTGTGTGTGTGTGTGTGTGTGTTGTTGTTGTTGTTGTTGTTGCTGTTGTTACAGGGCCTCACTCTCCAGCACTCTCTGTAGTTTCTAGAGCTGTCTCTTGGCTGGATTTGAACTCATAGCAGTCCTGCAGCCCCAGTCTCTTTAGTGCTGGGATTATGAACATGAACTACCATGTCCGTTTCCACTTTTCTGTTGATAATGTTGTTTTGGGTAGATACTGTGAAAAACTGAAAGAATTCCAGATCCCAGATCCAGGATGGGAGGGAAGCCACCCCCAAAGTGTTTTCTGGTTTATTTGTTTTGTTTTGTTTTGAGATAGGGTCTCACTGTGTAACCCTGGCTAGTCTAGAGCTTCCCATGTAGACCAGGCTGGCCTTGAACCCACAGAGATGTACTTGCTCCTGCCTCCTGAGCATTGGTATTAAAGGCATGCCCCATCATGTCCAGCACTTCCAAGGTCTTTATAACGAAGAGTGTCTCTTCCATTTTTCTTAAGTCCATGGTCTTGGGCATGCACCTTCAAAAGAGACAAAGACTCAAGAAAGACCTTCTGGTCTAGGCACTAAGAAGCAGCAGAAATACTTCTCAGGACTGTGGTGAACAGGTCCTACCTACGTCCTGGAGGCCGTTACAGGTTACTGGTCCAGTACAGCCAGATCTCCTGACTTCAGCAGAAGGTCACAGGTCTTTTGTTTTATTCCGTGGCAGTGGGAATGGCACCTGGGGCCTGGCATATGCTAGGCTACCTCTCTACCATTGAGCTTTTGCCCCCAGCCTGGAGGTCTCTTTGTGTAAAGCTGCTAAGTCTTACCAGTTGGCAGCTAAAGGATAGCTCTTACAAGTACCATGGAGGCCAAATAAAAATCTAGGATTAGGGTCAGAACTGGTCCTTGACTCCCAAGTTCTGCAGTCCAGGCATCTCCTTGTGGGCAAAGCAACAGTCTCTGCCTTGGGATGGGTGACTGCCTTCTTCATAAGGGTGAGCTTCATAAGCTGTGGATAGAACACGCTGTATTCCCGCCTCCTGCACGCTCTCCCCTCCCCCGCTTTGGCTCTGCATTCTGGTCAGAGGATGCCTGTACACTTGTTTTAAAGGGACATTTGTGGTTTGTAGATGTACATTGGGTGTCTCAGAGCCCCCGTCTGTGTATGCACTGTCTGGGTTGGATGTAGTCAGTGTGAGTCTTGGGACGTTTTCCAGAAGAGTTAATTAGGGCAAGCACAGTAAGGGAGGCTTGAAGAAGGGCTGGCCATCAGCGGCAGAGCTCCGCCTAGGGAACATTCTGAGCCCTGGCTCATGGGATAATGCAGATAATGGCTAGTCTTGGTGTTTTGCTCTTGAACAAGGCTGGACTTGTTTGGGAGCAACAATTTAGGCTGATTTATAAATAAATATTTTCAAGGTTTGTAAGCAGTAGTTGCGGTCACACATGGATGGCTGTGTGTGAGTGCCTGCTGGCCTTGGAATGCTCTGTAGTTACCTGTGGACATGTTTAGTCTAATACCTGTTATTAGGAGTCCCTTTTAGGCCCAGAAGTCTGCTCTATGTTGTTCTGTATTGAGAAATCTTCAGGGTGTTTCTGTATAAAAATAATCCCCTGTCCAGGAAATATTTGTCATTGCAAAACAGGTAAAGATATTTAAGCATTGTTAAGCATATTTTTGAAGGTCATGTAGAATGGCTTAGGGACACAAATGAATTCACAACAGGTCACTTAACATGTCAGCGATGGGGTAGGGACGTGCAATGGAAATGTAGGACCAACCGTGGATTTGACTTAGAATTACCAGAAGGACCCATTTTTCTATGCCAGACACTAAAAGTTCACTTCTCAGATTTCTTCAGTCTGCTCAAAGGAGCGTTGACCATTCAAGTACTAGTGGCCTGTCCAACTCAGCTCCCACTTTGTGGAAATGTTGGAGTATGTGTTTTGAAGGTCTTGTTGGCCATTTGAAGTCATTATGCTGGAGTGACGTATGAGGGAAGATTAAATGGAAAGGAAACTTGATGTCCAGAGTTAATAAATAGATATGGCAGAATTTTCTTCCATCCATGTACAAACCACATTAAAGAATTGGCAGCCGACACTGAGATGCTCGGATGTGAAAAGTTAGTGCAAAAATAAACTGTGACTCAGAGGCAGAGTCGGTGACGCTGGTGAGGGAACAATTCAAATGTTCCTTCAGGAGGACGGGAAGGTGTTTCAGAAAGCCCCTCCCTGTCTGAAGGGAAAGAGCTTGTACACAGGTAAGGACCTTGTGAAGTGGAGAGAACGGCTGAGGTTATCATATTCTGTAGGCAAACAAGGGTGGACCTGGATACTGGGATTCCAGATGGCTTGCTCTTAAGCCAAACCAAACCAAGCCACCTGTCACCAGTAATCATCAGCCGAGTGCCGTCTCCTGCAAAGGCCGTCCTCTCCTGCCACGAGTTGGTGAACTGCAACCCAGGATGTGGTTTATCTCGACTCGTCCCAGTTCTTTATTTCTGCTTTCTGATGTTGCATTTTAGAGAGTACTCATGTGCCACCTGGCACGGTAGCACAGGTCTGTGATAGAAGCACTCAAGTGGCTCAGGCAGGGGGATTGTGAGTTCAGGCCTAATCCAGGCTACAGAGTGAGTTCTTATCTCAAAGACAAATTACCCCCAACCCCCCAAAAAATGCAAACAAAAAAAAAAGAGAAAAGAAAAGAACCAAACAATCACTCAACTACCAGCAGGTATAATGAAGTATCCAGGTGCAACATAATTGACCAAAAATGCTACCTGGGGACAATATCCACCAGAGGATCAGAATCGACCGATATGGCATGGATAATAAGACTCATTCCTCTTGTCCCTAGACTAGTGTGATATGATTGGTTCCCTCCTGGATTAACTAGGGAGCAGAACTCCCATCCTTGCTAATAGTACGGAGAGCCTCTGACATCCCAATGCTTGGGTTGGAACCCTGGCTCTGCCATTTATAAATAATGGATTGGACTTTGAGACACATAATTTATACTATCTTAGTCATTTCTTTGGTTACTGTAACAAAATACTTGAGACAATCAACTTATAAGGAGAAAATTTATTTTGACTCACAGGATTGGGGCTTCTAGTTCATGAATATTGATCCCAACAGACTCAAGTCTCTGGTTGGGGTGCTGTGTATTGCTCAGATAGATGTAGTGCAATGGTTAGTAAAACAATTGCCTGGGTATTCAAGGTTCTGCGTTTTATTCTCAGTACTGCAAAACAAACAACCCCCCTATTTTTGGACTTTGGTACCTGTAACTGGTTAGTTTTTTTTTTTTTTTTTTTTTTTTTGCGAACTTGACATCAGCTAGAGTCATTGGAAAGTGGGAACCTCAACTGAGAAAATATTCCCATCAGATTGGCCCGTAGACTAGTCTGTGGCTACATTGTTTCGCTTGATAATTTATGTGGGAGAGCTCAGAATATTGTAGGTGGTGCCACCCCTGGGCTGCTGGGCCGATTGGTTGTATGAAAGGCAGGGTGAGGGAGCCATGCGGGGCAAGCACTCCTCCTTAGCTTCTGCTTCAGTTTCTGCCTCCAGGTTCTTGCCTTGAAATTTTGCTTTGAAACCCTAACCCTAACTCTTCTTCCCTAAGCTGCTTTCGGTCAGTGTTTTTATCACAGCAACAGAAAGCCAACTAGAACGGTCCCCAGAGTATGGTACATAAGTCATCCAAGTGAGTGGTTTTCTGGGAGCTACTTAGAAGTGCAGAGTATTAGGTACCACCCCAGATTACTTTTTTTAATTTTTAAAATTTATCATCATCATCATCATTGTCATTATTATGATTATTATTTTCATTTCTTTTGCTTTTTTCTTTGGGGCATGCTCTCATTATGTGGTCCAGGCTGCTCAGGAACTTTCTATGCAGCCCGAGTTAGCCTTGAACTGTTTCCTTCTTGGTTTAGCCTCCCTAGTCCTGGGATTATAGTGTGAACTACCATGCCAGGCTTAGGCCTCGCTCAGAAACTGCGTTTGGCCGGTGTCTTGCCTGTACATTTGTGAAGCCCGCTAAGATTACAGCAGGGCTCTAAAAGACTTGGGGCAGTGCCAGGGGAGGGGATGCTGTCTGACATTTCAGGGTTTCCTCCTCCTCCCCTCCATTATTATTATATAATTCTGAGCTGCCTGGGACTTCGCTTCAAAGGACTGTCTTCATGGGTAAGGAAGTGATCTAATTGGAACCTTGGGGCAGTTTAGAACCCTCCCACGTTAGATTGTTGTTGTTTTTCTTTAAGGAACAGTGTCATATTGAGGTCAGAGAGGACTAATTAGTGGGAACCCTGTGTCTGGAAGA